GAGGGGGGGGGGGGGCGTTTTTGCATGAGCTAAGAAGGTTGAAGGTGTAGGGGAAGGGCCAGCACCAGGCCCGGCAGCCCAGGACCCCCATCTCTGCTGGGCCCATCCAGTTTGGGGGAGACCTTCCTTCGCGGGTCAAACACTGGGACAGTCACCACCGATTAGGAAAGAGTTTGACCAACTACGGAGGGAGAAGGAAGGCGGGAGTGTGGAGTAGCACCAGAGCCCTGCTGCGTGAGGCACGGGGGCGAGTCAGGCACGTGGATCTTGGAGAAGAGACTAGGAAGGAGGCCATGGCTGCCAGCACATACTGAAGCACAGCCTGGCTAAGGGGAGGGATTTGTCCCACGTGGGCTTTGGCAGGCCAGACGAAGACCAGCGGATAAAAGGTACAAGGTGGCAGATTTCAAATCCATCTAAGGCAGCGGTTCTCAACCTTCCTAATGCCGTGACCCTTTAATACAGTTCCTCCTGTTGTGGTGACCCCCAACCATAAAATTATTTTCGTTGCTACTTCATAACTGTAATTTTGCTACTGTTATGAATCGTCATGTAAATATCTGGTATGCAGGGTGTATTTAGGCGACCCCTGTGAAAGGGTGGTTCGACCCCCGAAGGGTCGCGACCCACAGGTTGAGAACCGCTGGTCTAAGGAGTTATTTTGTAATGATTAGAGCTGTTAAAAAGGGAGTGGGCTTTCTTAGGAAGTAATGAGTTACCCAGCACTGGAAGATCTTTTTGTCTTTTTTTTTTTGTTTTTTTTTTAATCCTCACCTGAGGATATTTTTTCCATTGATTTTTTTAGCAAGAGTGGAAGGGAAGAAGGGGAGCAAAGAGAGAGAGAAAAAAATTAATCTGAGAGAGACACATCAATTGGTTGCCTCCTGTACATGCCTGGCCAGGGCTGAGGATTGAACCTGCAACCCAGGTACGTGCCTTTGCCCAAGAATAGAACCCGGGACCCTTTGGTGTGTGGGCTGGTGCTCTAACCGCTTAGCAACACCGGCCAGGGCTGGAAGATCTTGCAGGGTGTCGTGGGTGAATCCAGCATTAGAAATGCACTTGTGCCAAACAAACTCTGGGCCCACCCAATAGTAACGTTTCGTCATTCTAACGCTACTATAGATCTTCAGGTTCATTTTGAAGTTACTAATATTATTAATATTGTTGATATTTCATCAACCTTGGGGATAGAACCTTTCCTCTTCCAAGTTTTAAGGAACCTTAGTTCTAGAATTGGGTGGACAATGCCATGGCCTCCACCCATGCTATTCCTAATATTTTAGATTTTAGTTCTATTCTCAACTTTTGTCTTTTTAAGCGAGAAACTTAACCTGTTGGGCTTTTCTTTAAACCGCAGTCTCCTCTCACGATATGTGCCTCCCACTTGTCTCACCAAGCCATCGTCCATTCCCAGAACTTTTCAGAACCTGCTTCTCCCTGGTTTGGGAAGGTCCCCAGCCCTCCTCGCTCCTGAAGAGTCACAGGCAGACAGATGACTCCAGGGAGCCTCCCCACAGGAGGTCTAAGTTCCGGGGGTCAAGAAGTCTCCTCTAACTTGCAGGTTGGAGTTGTTCAGTACGGAGAAGACGCCGTGCATGAGTTTCACCTCAATGACTACAGGTCTGTAAGAGACGTGGTGGAAGCGGCCAGCCACATTGAGCAGAGGGGAGGAACAGAGACCCGGACGGCATTTGGCATAGAATTTGCTCGGTAAACAAAAAAAGAAAGAACAAAATTTTAATTGTTTTAAATCTCAGATATCATTCTAGTTATATATTGCTGTGTAACAAATCTCCACAAAATGTAGTTCCTTGAGACAATAATTTATTAATTCCTCAAAGTTCTGGGGATTGGCGGGGCTCAGCCTGTCAGTTCTCTCTTGGATTTTTCTCATGTGTCAGCTGGGGCTGTTATCATCTGAAGGTTCGACTGGACTGGACGTCCAAAAGGGCACACTGTGTGCCTAGCAGCTGATGCTGGCTGTTGGCTGGAACTCAGCTGGGGCAGGCGAGCTGAGCACCCACACGTGGCCATAGGGCCTGGTTTTCTCCTAATATGGCGGCTGGGCTCTGAGAGACAGCAACTCAAGAGTGAGTTTTCCCAGAGACCCACACAGAAACTCTGGGACTGCCCATGACCTCGCTGCAGAAGTCCCAGCATCTAACTTTGATTGAGCAAGTCACCAAAGCCAGCCCAGATTCAAGGGGCGGGGAATTTGAGTCTGCCTCCTGATGGAGGACTGGCAAGGCCACAGTGCAGGAGAGCATTTGCGATGGGAAATATTGTTGCCGCCAACTTTGGAAAATCTGCTCTGCCACAGTGACCCCATAAAAAGTGTGTCGGCTCTATGAGGGGAGAATCCTCCTGTGGCGTGTTTGTCATCCATGGAGTGTGGAGCACATAGCTAAGTCAGACATCTGAGAGTGCAGAGTAACGAGGCTGGTTCCTTAAAAATCACACCAGTACTTCCTCGTCATGACAATGGGTGCTGTCTCTATCACTGTCCACACAGCGGCTACGTCTTTATTCCAGTGATGCTGCCATCACTCAGAACATTGTGCTCACCCCCCCGCACACGCACTGAAAGCAGGGAGTGACTTAAAGGCAAATCCCCAAGATCTTTTAAGCTGAGGCCTAACCTCCTAAGAGGACTGTAGCCCAGGTCTGCAGATTTTAAGTTGTAAATTTCACACCTACGAACATGAGTTCCGCTTTGTTCATTGAAACCACAGTCCCGGTTCCTTACAATCCCACCTTTCATAGGGCTAGTCCTGTGGTCGGCAAACTGCGGCTCGCGAGCCACATGCGGCTCTTTGGCCCCTTGAGTGTGGCCACGAAGTTTCAATAGCACTGTACGTGCGCGCCCGCACGTGGTATTTTGTGGAAGAGCCACACTCAAGGGGCCGCAGTTTGCCGACCACTGGGCTAGTCAATGTGTTTACCAGAATTCCGCAGTTAGAGTATATAGGAGTAACAGGACTTCATGCGATCAAAAGGTGTTTTTTCCAGCCTTACAACCCTGTAAGATTAAGTTACTGCTCCACTAACGTATTTCTGTGCTGCTAAAACTTGCTTGAGCTTTTTCCCTAAATGAGCATCCCTCCGTGTGAACGTGGCTCTTGCTCCTTCTCACGAGTTACAGGCCATTTTGCTGTTTTGTCATCATTGGGATGAGCCCCTGAGACCCCAGCAGAGGACTGTGAAATGCGGGGAGAGGGGTGGGGGGACCAGGGAGAGGCAGCCTGTGCCCAGGGAGCTATCGCTTCCTCGCTTCCTCGGTGTGAGCCCCACTGTTCTGCTCTCATTTCCCAGCCCACCCACTGCAGGGCGATTGGAAGTGTGTGACTCAACAGGTAGTTTGAACCAGTCATGACTCATGCAACCACTGGGGTGTGCAATCTGCCCTTCAAGTGATGTGTGAAATCCGATCTTCGCAGCCGGCCAAGTTTGGGTCCCAAATTATAGCCAGGGCCTCTGAGGGTAAAAGGTTTTCTCTCCTCACTCGTTTATTCATAGTGCATGTTTGCTGTGCACCTACGAAAGTACAAAGAGCCAAGCCATGGACTTGAGGGCCTCTGCTTATTGTCAGCCTAACTCAGTGAGGATGAGAGGAGGGACCCGAGGAAGGGGCCAGGGAGGAATGCCAAAACTGGTGGCACTTGGCCTGTCCTAGGAGGACTCCAGGATTCCAGCAGGGACAGGTGGACAGGAGACTTTCCACAAAAGAGCTGCCCTGATTAGGACAGAGGATGGGGACCGTGGAGGAACATTTACATTGGGAGCCGTGCTCTGACCACAGCCCAGTGTGGGTGGAGACGGGAGAGCGGAAGCAAGGGCTCCGAGAAATAACGGGACCAGACCCTGAAGGCTCCGGTGGGCCAGTGTCAGGGCCTGAGAGGAACGGGAGCCATTGCAGGTTCTGAACAGGAAGGAGGCATGACGTGACCTACTTTTCCACGGGGTCACTCTGGCTTCTGGGTTCGTGGAGCCTGTTGTGAGTTTAACGCTCTCACTGCTTTCCAGGAACTTGTCATCTGATTTACAAAGGAACAAAGCCAAGTCTTTTGCACAATACAAATCACAATTTTAAATCTGATGATTCATGCCTGCGTTCACCCTATTGCAGATTCACACAGATAGTCACACTATGCCACTATATGGAAATGCGATCCTGAAATTGTTCCTCGCTTTTTCCTTGCTACATATTTTGCATGGAGTTGTTTCTGAGCCTGGCCCTCTGATGATGTCATGGAAGCACCTAGAATCTCCTTTAAGGAGTTAGCAAAGTTCTCCCTCCAATGGGTCGGACTTAAGCCCCAAATCAGCCCTAGTCATGCGGAGTCCGCCTCTGCCCCTCTTTAGTTCCCAGCTCATACTAAAATTAGAGAATTTTTTGGTCAGCATATTCAGAGTATCGAGTTGCTAAGAGAATGGCAGATGGTCTGTTTCTCTTAGCTGGTAGCTTGAGGGTGCTCTGGCCTAATGTATTCACCTTTGTGAATATCTCAACATCTAAATCACCCACCTCAGCTCATCCGCTTGCTGTGTAGCAAGAGATACTTTCGGTAACCAAAGCCGGAGACCGGCTTTCACCCAGCCTCGTGGAGCTTAAACCTGTGGGTCAGATCCACAAGCAATCATCGCAGGGTAACGTTTATTTTTAGATCCTTATTGGAAAATTCTACCTGCTGGGCCAGCCTCTCGGGCCAGACCATGTCTGCCCTTCTCAGAACCTCACAGTCTGAAGGAGGGTTGGCCACAGAGGCACCGAGAGCCAGTGATGGCTCAGGAGCCAATTTTCCATGCTTCCTAGATGCGCTTCCAGCTGCAGGAGTCTTTCCGCAGCATTGAGGGGTAGGTGTGCCAGCCCCCACCCCCACCCATCGCCTGGCTGGATTGCCCAACAGGCTGGCCACGTGCCTGATCCCGGCACTGAAAACAAAATAAAAAGCGAGAAGCAGGAATATTTGTCATAGAAGTTGATATTTAATAGTTCCCAAAATAGAATCGAAGTTGTCCTCATGGGAGAAATGAGAACCTGGTCAGGCTTCACTGCAGGGATTTTGTGGATTAGAGTCGTTTGGGCGTTAAGTTACTCAGACGCGGCACCTGTGCAGGACTCGGGGCAGTGGGTCTCCATGCCGGTGCTCATGAGAACTTTGAAAAAGACTGGTGCCCAGGCCGCGCCCAGAGATTCTGACTTCAAGAGTCTGGGTAGGGCTTAGGCATCACTTTTGTTTTAACTCCCCAGGTGACTCTAATGTGCAGCTAGGGTTTTGAACCACCAACTTAGGGCCTCGAAAGGATCTCCATCTGACCCTGAACTCCCCTCCCAAGCCCACCCCATCTGCTTCCCCAAAACAGCATGGTCAGGACCCTACAGGGGCTTTTTAAAGTCACTTTTTAAAGACAAGCAGTGGCCTGGGCATCTCAACCCTGCTTTTCTGTGGTTCGAGGTCTCAAAACCTTCTGGGTTGCTGGAGATAAGGAGGCAGGTGGGAGTTGGCCCTGGTTTCTGGGGCTGCCCCCTCCCAGTGTCCCTCTTGTGACCTCCAACCCCCCTGTGCTCGGGTTTCAGTTCAGAAGCCTTCCAGAAGGGAGGAAGGAAAGGGGCCAAGAAGGTGATGATTGTCATCACGGATGGGGAGTCCCACGACAGCCCGGACCTGGAGAAGGTGATCCAGCAAAGCGAGAGGGACAACGTGACCAGATACGCTGTGGCTGTGAGTCCTGTCCCGCCTGTCTTGCCCCTGCCCCTGCCCCTGCCCCGGCCCACAGGCTGCCAGCTGGCTCACAGAGGCTTCACCATCAAACCCCTGGGGCCCCCAAGGGGGCACTTTCTGGGCAGTGAGCAAGCTGTCCGGGCCCTCAGGTGGGCCTCTCCTTGCTTCACCTTCTAAAGAGCAAGTTGCGCATCTCCCTTCTGCTCTGCCTAGGCCTGGCCACAGTGGCCATGGAGAACCTCATGAGGTGCTGAAGCCTCAGGAAACTAGAAACTCTCCAGCTTCCGGACCCTGAGAACCCGATCTTAGAACAGGGCTGTCTCTGGCCCTTCTAGACAGACAATAGGGTGGTGAAGGCCTGGGTGGAGGGGGGCAGTGAGGGGGGAGCGGGGGCATATCTGTAATACTCTCAACAATAAAGATTACAAAAGTACATAAGTAACATTTAAAATGCAAGTGGGGCTTGGGGGACCACTTGGGCCCTCCCTGGGGCCCTCCCTGGGCCTCCCCGGGGCCTCCCTGGGGCCCTCCCTGGGCCTCCCCGGGGCCTCCCTGGGGCCCTCCCTGGGCCTCCCTGGGGCCTCCCTGGGGCCCAAGGCCAGGGCGCCCGCGGGTGAGCTGGAAGTCTGTGCTATGTCCTGGCTTGTTGCCCTGCCTTGTTCCCTGGCAGGTCCTGGGCTACTACAACCGCAGGGGGATCAACCCAGAGACTTTCCTAAATGAAATCAAATACATCGCCAGTGACCCCGATGACAAGCACTTCTTCAACGTGACGGATGAGGCGGCCCTGAAGGACATCGTCGATGCCCTGGGCGACAGGATCTTCAGCTTGGAAGGTGAGCCATTCAGACAGAGAGGGGCACGGGTTCCGGGGGGTCACAGCAGGTGAAGACCCCAGAGTGAAGCCCACCCCCACAGAGGGAAGTGGTCCTCCCTTCACAGTCAGTGCCATCAGTGGACTGTTACCGTGCCGGACACAGGCTGTGCACTTTCCCAGCAGCCCAGGGAGGTGGTTTTGCTGGTCGCCGCCTCCTCGACCACTGAGGAAACTGGAGCGCAGAGGGGCTGAGTGACTTGCCAAAGCACCAAAGCTTGAGAAGGGGCTGCGGCTTGACTGAGAGTCGCCAGATTCAGCAAATATAAAATACAATATTTGTGGGAGGTTTATACTAAAAAAAATGATCCGTTGGTTGCCTGAAATTCAATAGCTGAGTGTCCTGTATTTTCTCTGACAACCTTAGTTCGAACCCAGCTGGACTGACTCCGGAGCCTAAAACACTAACCCCGCCTCCCAGCACTTTCTTTTCTTGTTTTTAATATGTTTTTATTGATTTCGGAGAGGAAGGGAAAGGGAGAGAGAGATAGAAACATCAATGATGAGAGAGAATCATGGATCAGCTGCCTCCTGCACGCCCCACACTGGGGATCGAGCCCGCAACCCAGGCCTGTGCCCTGACCAGGAATCAAACTGTGACCTCCTGGTTCATAGGTCGATGCTCAACCACTGAGCCACGCCGGCCAGGCTGCCACAGCACTTTCTGCAGGGCTCCTTCAGATGCCTCCCTACGACTTAAGCTCCAGTGTGACTGGCCTTCTATTTGCACCATATATTGGGGCAGAGGGCCCTTTCCACACTGGGCTGGCCATGTAGGAGGAAGGTCAAAGCTAGAAAGCAGCGTCCCAGGCCTGAGCAGTCTGCAGAGCATGGAAACGACCAGCTACAGGCACACGAAAGGAGACAAAAGACAGTCCTCCTGAACGAGGGTAAATAGAAAGTATGAACCTGTGTGTTGACACTCACACAGAAACTTAAACATCCAAGTCATTGTATTTCTCCTCAAAATGGCCCCCTTGGGCAGCAAGAGCATTGGCTCTGATGGCAAGTTTGGAAGGGCCCCGGGGGAGGGGCTTTCAGCACGCACACGAGGTTTCTTGTGCAAATCTGCGGCGGTGGCATCTCCTCCGAGGGCCTAGCTGGTGTCTGGGAGTCATCCAGGGGCAGCTGGAAGCGACCATGGTGAACGAGCGGAATGAGCAAAGTAGGAAATTCCATTTCTTGCCCAAAACAATTTCTTTCCATGCACTTCCCTTGATCTTTCCCCGATGTTGACAGCCTTATGGTAGACGTGCCCTGTAATATGTTGTCCCAGGCGCTTTCCAGCAGGGAGTGGGCCACTAATAATAACCCCGCCCGACCCCTGGAAGTGCTCGTGCCTCCCTGGCAGGTGCCTGCCGCTGGGCAGACTGGGCGGGGCTTAGCCTCAGGGCCCCTCACCTCCCCAGTGCTCCCTGGGAGGCCGTGCGGTGGATGACCTGCAGCTGTGTGGGCACTAAGCCATCGGGCGGGGAACTGACCTCTCTCTGTCCCTGTCTTAGGCACCAACAAGAACGAAACGTCCTTCGGGCTGGAGATGTCACAGACGGGCTTCTCCTCTCACGTGGTGGAGGTACGGACCGTTCACAGCCAGCCTGCCACAGACGCAGGGCTCTGGGCCGTCACCCCGCCTTCCTGGGCTGTCTCTGTCCCCTTTTCTCTTGTTCTTGGAGTCGCTCTGCCTCCCGTGTTCTGTGGTTGGAAGAGGGAAATCGAGGTCTTCAACTTACAGTGAGCTGTCGCACCCTCCCCATGCAGAGTGCCGACGGGGACCTTTCCTTCAGGACCCGCGGTCCCATCTAGTCCACAGAGCCTTGTGCACACACTAGGCCAGTGATGGCGAACCTTTTGAGCTCGGCGTGTCAGCATTTTGAAAAACCCTAACTTAACTCTGGTGCTGTGTCACATATAGAAATTTTTTGATATTTGCAACCATAGTAAAACAAAGACTTATATTTTTGATATTTATTTTATATATTTAAATGCCATTTAACAAAGAAAAATCAACCCAAAAAATGAGTTTGCGTGTCAGAGGTGTCCACAGAGCCTTGTGCACACACTAGGCCAACACAGCAAACCACTTGCACATGCTCTCACAGGGCCCGCATGTGGCCGAGGAGGCCTGTGCGTGCAGGGGAGGAGGCCTGTGCGTGCAGGCGCGCAGCCCTGCGGCGATGTTGGGAGGGTGTCCAGAGGTGTCCGACGTGCTCTGGCGGGCGCCCACATGGGCCCCCTTTCAGTGCAAACTCAGCATCAGATGACAGAGGCCCCAGGTGGGCACCTGGTGTCACACACAGCGTGTCGTGTCTGGAGCTCTGCATCGCAGGCCGAGTCTCAGGCTGCCCCTCACCCTCTGCACTTACCTGGTTCTGATTCACAAGCCGGGGCTGCAACCTCACAGGATTGCCAGAGGGCCAGAGGGACCGATACCAGAGAAAACACTTTATAAGCTGCTTGCGTATGAGCCCCGCCTGGGAGTACCGCGTGCAGGGAGGGCCCCGTGGGGAAAGCCTGGATGTGTCGGTATCAGCACCAACCTCGTGTGCGTGCCCTGCACAGGCAGGTGTCTCAGGTGTTGGGGGGTGGGGGATAGGGCAGGGTTCCTTGTTCCCAGTTTCCAGCTACAGAAACCCCATCACAGAATGGTCGCGTGGCCTGCTGAAGTGCTCTCGTGAGAGAACTACTCATCTCGTGCTCTCTCCCCACCGAGCCGCTGCTGCGGGAGAGTGTGGAATGTGAGGGGCTCTGAGTCAGAGACGGCTCATTGGAGGGGCGGGGGCCTGTGCACCACGCAGCAGGCAGATGGGCGGACCGCACCTCGCGCTCAGCTTTTCCTGAGCAGCATCTGGACAGCAAACGCCACGCCCACCTGGATACAGCAAGCTGCCCGTGTCCCAAAATCCTAACAGTCAAGTTATGTGCAGAGCACTTCACATTTCTCCAGGGATTTGAAATCCCTGTGCCCCATCCATGCTCGGAGACAGTCCTGCCAAGTCGGCTGGTGGTAATGGCTGCCCCATGTTAGGTGGTGACCTCAGCACATCGTTCCAGAGCCGCCTCTGCGCTGGGTCCCGCTGGATCCCACAGTTCGAGGGGAGGAGCCAGCACCAGGAGAGACGAGAGCCTCCCTCAAGCAGGTCAGGCCGCCCGTCATGTGCTGGTCAGGACTAGCCCGGTCTCCTGACCCTGGGCTCAGGGCTGATTAGAAAATGGAACAGAAAATCCAATTTAATTAAATCCAACAAGTATTTGTCAAATGCGACTAAGGTACCAGAAGGGACTGGGATTTCCTCTTGGCACCAGGAGTCCATCAACCTGCAAGCGATCCAGGGCAGCATTCCTCTGCTTTGAGAGCAGGATAAAAGCAACGATAGATTTCTGGTAAAAAATGTACAACTTCAGGAGGCCCCCATCCATGGAGCCCTGTGAACACCCCCTGCTCGTTGGGGGACCACATGTACACATCTAATGCTAACCAAGCAGCGTGTGATCGGGGTCTTATAGAAGGGAAGGCCCAGGCGGGGGAGAGGCCGTGAGGGAAGGATCTGGGGAGGGGCTGGCACTTGGGCAGACCCCTGAGGACGAGGATCCCTGCAGCCATGGGCAGTGAGCAGAAGAACAGAGAGGAAATCTGTGCACACACCAGGTGCCAGCCCTGATGTTGGGGACAGTGAGAGAGGGAAGGTCCCTTGTCTCCTTCGTTCCTTCCATAATCATTTCCTGAGCACCTCCCTGGATGCCAGGCTCTATCCCAGGAACTGGGGGCACATAAATAGATGATGATTAAGGTAACATTTCAGCTGACAGCAGCTCGAGGTCTAATTGGGGAGAAAGATTCTTAAATAGTAAGTTCAGTCTCCTGCTTCCCATACTGTGATTTCTGTACATCCAGAAATCAGGAACCTAAAGAAAAAAGAAATTAAGATAAACTTCCGGTATTGGAGGACGCTTGCGCTGAGCCCTGAAAATGGCCCACGCAGCTCAGTGTGCAGAGCAAGGTGAGTCCTTGTGGACCTACAGGTTCCCCAGCTGCAGGGGGGAGACCAGGAGCTCAGAGCTCCAGCCTGTAACTGAGGTCAAGGCCGTGCACTGCCCTGTGCAGCTGCTTCGACACGCCCAGCTCGAGAGACCAGGCTGCCTCTCCCCACCCTGCAGATGCAGACCCCAGTTCTCCCGTCACCCCCAGTCTCATTTTCAAGTGACACGGAGCTGGAATTTTTATGTGATAGACTTTAAAAGAAAGATGATTACATTTGAATGAGACTCCTTAATACTTTAAAAAAAAAAAAATACCAACTTCCAAAGCCAAAGGAGTGGTGCAATGAGGGTAGACTGTTTGGTGCTGCAACCTGCCACTGGGTTACTATTAGACGCAGAGGTTTTTCAATGCCAGCCATTGATGCCGTCGTAATTGACCGCAGCCAACCTGTCCCTGGGAGGCCAGCTCGCAGCTTTCAGGGTCAGTCAGATATCTCTGGGGACCAGGGGCAGGTGGGTCCAGCCTTTGAACTTTGCCCAGAGCAGGTCCTAAACTCAAGGGAGTCCATCTCCTAGGCAAGCCCCAGGCTTCCTCTCCCCCAGAAGTGCTCCACCGGGACAGCCTCAGACAGCTACTTCCTGCGAAGGGGCGGAAGGAGCTTCAGCTGCCTGAGCCTGCTCATTACGTCAGAGGAAAGGTCTCTGGCCCTGGGGGAGGGGCCAGAAGAATGCTCTCAAGGGCAGAGGAAAGGCCCAGCAGCTCGTTGGTCTGCTGCCATCTGTCAACAAGGAAACCAACCTTTGAGTTAGGAAGGAGGAACCAGAGCCCAGCAGAGGAGAGGAGACCCAGGAACATCCCTGGCCACCTACAGAGCTCCAGGCTCCAGACCTCAGCAATTGCATCCCACGCTGATGGCCAAAGATCAGAGCCACTGAGGGAAACTGAGAGCTGGAGCCAAGCCAAGAGCTCTAGTCTTGATTTGCAAAAAGGAGAAAGAGGGTATCCTGGACATTACGGCTCCCTGGTCAAATTCTAGAACGGATTTTGAAGCCAACGCGTTCATTAGCACTTGGAAATACATGCGAAGGCCACTAATGGCTGTGATGGCTTCTGGGACTGCTGGCCGGCTACTGAGGTAGTGAGCTCCCTGTCAAGCTGGGTAATCAAGAAGAGCTTTCAGAAAGCTT